CTGTATCTCAGACATGATACCATGCATAACACTCCCTATTGTGTCAGTGACATTAAAAGCTAGGCATTAGGCCTGGGTAACAACGGAAAAATTTGTTTCTAAAATCGATTTGTATTTGGGGGGTTTTTTTGTTTCGATATTTAAAATAATTACAAAATTTTCCCTTAAAAAGTTCGGTATTTACGAAATTTCGTAAATGTGAAAAAAAATTACAAAACATTAACGAATCAATTTCCGAAACAATAACGAATCGATTCGTTAATGGCGGACGCGACCGCGAAATATGCTAAAAAACCTCCAAAAACTTCTGAAGCTTCCCTCTCCCTCTGTTGTTGACTGTTGGTGTGATATTATAATTTTTTTTCACTAATTAAACAAAAAACTTGCCCCAGACATGCGGAAATAATAACGAAACGACCTCAGAACAATAACGAAACGAATACAATAACGAAATACGAAGCATTTACAAAACGTGTTTAAAAATTCGTTTTTAAAAAAATTGCTCCAGAATGGTTCGTTATCGTTTTGTAATTGAAAAAAATAACGAATTATTAACGAATTACGAATTAACGAAACGAAACCGCCCAGCCCTACTAGGCATACCTGGACTGCCGTTTGATCAACCTCACTCATTTCTCTTGAATGTTGAAAAGCAGTTATAGAATAATTCCCTTTTCCCACATTTCCTTTGATCTGAAAGATTCTACATTTCCCTGTTTTTCCCCTCTGAATTAATTTCCATTGCCTCAGCCCTGCATAGAATCATTCCATTTTCCTCCACTTTTTTGTGGTATATGAATACATTCCTAGTCTGAAAAAGTACCTATTTATAGATTGTGCTTTCATTCCTGTTTCTGTTACTTCCAGGATTTTGAGATGTGTTCCATCAGGAGAGTTTTCAAGTTTATTATTAACTGGTAGGGCTTAACATTTGAAAGATTAACAGCAACGTATAAGGCAGGAGATGTGACCTATGGTTGAAAGGACTGCAGTAAGAAAGTGGCTTCTCATAAGCCTGCCCAAGCATTCAGGTTTTTATGGCACAGTCCTGAGCATTTTAGCTCAGATGTAGTCCCACTGTGCTCAGCTACCAGGAAGATGTATACAAGACTTCAGCCCTAGGAAGAAATATGTAGTCATCATATGCCAGACAGTCTAAATTTTGTACTGCTCAGTTCTGAACATGAACACAATATTCCCATCATATAAAGGGATTTATTGTTGCTCCTCCTTGTGGCAGCAAAGATAGATCTTGCAAAAAGACAAGAGAAATAGAAGAGAAAAAGTCTAATAAAATGCCATTGGTTTCACAATTTATAAGACTCCTCACCATGAAAAAATTCACGCATTAAATGAAAGAAACATTGGGTCTAGGTAAGTCATGATCCTTTTAACATGGAAGCAGCTTTAAGCTTATACATAAATTGCTAACAAGCTCTAAACGCTTATCCATGTGTCTATTTTTCCAATCAACATTCATTTTTAATCAACAATAAAGATGTGTTCCATATCAGTGCTGATGCTAAATTGGTTGCTCAGAGACATATTGCTGGAATAATTAAAACTATGCTTATTGAAGATGAAGCTAAAATATTGTAGGCAAGTTATTACATTAATGTTAACTATAATTACTTTAAAATGTTTTATCATAATTTCTCATTTATCGTTGGAAATCATAGCTACTAGGGTTGTTAAGTTTGGTTTGGAAAAACCTAAAATTCGGAAATAGCTACTAGGAAATCATAGCTACTAGGAAATCATAGCTACTAGGAAATAGCTACTAGGAAATCATAACTACTAGGAAATCATAGCTACTAGGGTTGTTAAGTTTGGTTTGGAAAAACCTAAAATTCGGAAAAACTTAAAGAATTTGGGCTTTTGAACCAATTTTGAACCATGCAGGAATAGTGGGAGGAGCAATTCCGAATTTGAACCACTTACCCATTTTTCGGATGTCTCCCACAGTTATTTTGATTTTCAGAACCATTGAGCAACTTTGGCAAAGCCTAAACAAATGGTTTTAAAAGCTCGCGGTTTCCCTTCCCTGGCGCATGGCAACGATGCAAAGAGGGACGAGGTGGGTGTGGCTAAGCAGCAGCACAGCTCTTCTTGAAGGCCACACCCCCAGTGGTAGAGATTGCAAAAGTTCTTGCTGTTACATTACAGGACCTTTTGCAATCTCTACCACTGGTGGCGTGACCTTCAAGAAGAGCTGTGCTTAGCCACACCCACCTCATCCCTCTTTGCACCGCCACTCACCAGGGAAGGGAAACTACAAGATTTTAAAATTGTCTGGCCTCGAACCTGTTCCAGAAATGACAATCTAATTATCAACACAGTGAAACCAGAGAGTGAGAGAGAGAGACTCTCGCACCCACGTTCATACAAAGAAACAGTGCAAAGATCGAAAGAAGATAAAGGTTCCTATTCTCCCATGCAATCCAATGGCAGCAAAATAGCCATTAGCATTAGCTCCCGCCATGGAAACAAAATCCTCCCAACCCTCCCTGGTTCAAATCCCAGTCAGGGACAAAAACGTCAAAAACAGGGGAGTGCACGGAGGGTTGCCAAGACACCTGCCATTAACAAAGCAATTCGGAAATTTTTAATATTTCCGATCTTTTTTTTCCAGAACATTTCAGAAATCATTTCAAAATTGAATTGCCAGCGCCCCTACATCTGAAACGAGTTTTGAACCAATTTTTTTTGATCAAACAAGCCTAATAGTTACACTACAACAATATGTTTCCCATTCACTTAAGCCTCTTTGCTGAATAATAAATAATAGGGCTGGGCAACCATGGAAAAATTTGTTTCTAAACTCGATTCGTTTTTTGGGTTTTTTTGCGTTTCGATATTTAAAAGAATTCCGAAATTTTTCTTTAAAAAAGTTCGATATTTACGAAATTTCGTAAAATTACGAAACGAATACGAAACGAATACGAATCGATTCGTTAATGGCGGACGCGACCGCGCAATACGCTAAAAAACCTCCATATGGGACAGGGGGAACTTCTGAAGCTTCCCTCTCCCTCTGTTGTTGACTGTTGGTGTGATATTTATAATTTTTTTTCACTGATTAAACAAACAACAGCTATAAAACTTGCCCCAGACATGCGGAAATAATAACGAAACGATTTCGAAATGAATACGAAACGAATACAAAGCAATTACGAAACGAATTGAAAAATTTGTTTCGTTTTTTAGATGCTCCTGAATGGTTCGTTATCGCTTCGTAACCAAAAAAAAAAATAACGATTTTTTAACTAATTACGAAACGAAACCGCCCAGCCCTAATAAATAATGTTCCTATGTATTCATTCAGCTCTGTCTTGTCATAATGACCACCTCTAATTTCCACTGGATTGCCAAACATGGCTCTAATGCAGTGGCTCTCAATGTTCCTAATGCCATGACCCCTTAATACAGTTCCTCATATTGTGGTGACCCCCAACCATACAAATATCTTTTGTTGTTACTTCATAACTGTAATTTTGCTACTTGTATGAACTGCAATGTAAATATCTGATATGCAGGATGTATTTTTATTCACTGTATAAAATTTCACACAAATACCCAATATGCCCAAATTTGAATACTGGTGAAGTTGAGGGGGATTGATTTTGTCATTTGGGAGTTGTAGTTACTGGAGTTTATAGTTAACCTACAATTAAAGAGCATTCTGAACTCCACCAACAATGGAATTCAACCAAACTTGGCACACAGAACTCCCATGATCAACTGAAAATACTAGAAGGGTTTGGTGGTCATTGACCTTGAGTTTTGGAGTTATAGTTCACCCACATCCAGAGAGCACTGTGGACTCAAACAATGATGAATCTGGACCAAACCTGGCATAAATACTCAATTTGCCCAAATGTGAACACTGGTGGAGTTTGGGGAAAATATATCTTGACATTTGGGAGTTGTAGTTGTTGGAATTTATAGTTCACCTACAATCAAAGAGCATTCTGTACCCCACCAATGATAGAATTGGATCAAACTTCCCACACAGAACATCCATGACCAACAGAAAATCCAGTTTTTTCTGATGGTCTTTGGTAACCCCTCTGACACCCCCCTCATGACCCTCCCCAGGAGTCCTGACCCCCAGATTGAGAAATGCTGCTCTAATGGTATAAAATAGAGGGTTGGAATCCTTAGTTTTTACTGTATCATCATTTATGACAAAAATGAGTGGACAAGTCTTATTATAAATGTTTTGATGCAGGGAATAGGTAGTAGGAAAAATAAAATCATTACAAAGTGTTTTTTCCTCCTGGGTTCATCTATATTTGACCACAGAATGTGGTTTGAAGCTAGCTTCAAGCTGCAGCAGCTAGATAACACAGCACAGGTTAAAGAGTTTAAAGTGCACCAAACAAAGTTGGGGGAAAGTACAAGATAAGACCTGAATGTGTATTAGCAAGTCCCAAATGTATACGGTGAAATTAGCTCCACAGATACCCGTCTGTGCTGAAACATTTTGAAATATTCAGAATACATGGTGGGAGCTACCGAAAAATGCCTCAAGGACATAGCTGGGCAACAGGGGACCAAATGGCCCTCTAAGACTGGTAATTGCTTCCATTACTGTCACTTTCTCTTCTTGTTTACCCCTCATATGCCTCTGGAGCACTGGTGCACATCACACTGCAGATTCTGAACCTGGTTTGAGGCCATCTTAAGTGGCTAAGATAGCCAACTGTCTGGCCTCGAACCTGTTCCAGAAATGACAATCTAATTATCAACACAGTGAAACCAATTTCTGCCAAAATGGCTCCAGACCAAACTAAGTGGTCAGTGTAGATGTATCAGGTTATTCCTTCATTATTAGTATTCTTAGAATGATACCTCTTTATGATTAGATTTATGTTTCTCCATTAGCTAAATCAGACACCTTTTAGAAAATCGGAAATTTAAAATAATTATAGTCTTTAGAAATAGGCTGCCAAATTTACAAATCAACATCATTATAAAATATGGCAAATTAATCTTACCTGTAAATAAATGGTGCTACTGTGGCCGTATTTGGGTGACTGTATTGCTGTTGCTGAGGAAGTTGGACAGTACTGTTTCCTGTTGCTTGCCCACTACTTGCAGCCATTGAAAGAGTAGTGGATGAACATGGGGTAAGAGCTATATTAGATTCTTTTCCTTCAGTTGTGAGACAAGATGGAATACCAACTTTCTCATTAACCTGGCATTTTGCTGTTGATGGGGGCTGATTTCCTTTTGCACATCTCAATTTTTCAGTTTCTTTGCTTCCTGAACATGCCGGTGAAGTACTTTGCTTCGGTGTTGGTACTTTTGATCCAGGTTTTGGTATCCCACTAGATGAAGGTATTAAAGTTTCCTTCTTGGCTGATGTAGCTTTGTTCCCTTTTGGGATCAGGCTTGCAATTTTTGAGGTCTTTTTTGCAGGTGCCTCTGTGACTTGGTCCTTCTCTTCTTTTACAATTTTCTCAGTGCAAACTTTATTTTTGTCCCTGCTCTTTTCCTCTTTGTCCTTTGGCTGTAGCAAAGACTTTTTATTGCTGAGATTTTTGCTTCCAGCTTTTGGAGGGGTTAGTTTAGGTGATATTTTTGGGCTGCTGGTGGTAGAGCCACCACTGTTAAGCCCAACGCTGTAGCCATCTGTTTCACCACACTCTAAGAAGGCTTCGTCTTCTCTCCCACTGTCACTTGGGCCTGAACTTGATGATAAGGGAGGCCGCAAAACAGTCCTTGCATTAACCAGCTTGAATTTCTCCAGCATGGATTTCTGCCCAGAAGATGGATTTTTGGGTCCTTCAGAAAGGGGTGGCTTGAGCCTGTCTGAAGGTGGTGGCGATGTTGCGGGACTAGGCTGCTTGACAGACAGCATGGTAGAGGTGGCACTGTGTTTGACATTCATGGATTTGCTGCGCCAAGGCTTGCTGGCACTCGGAGAGGGGATGGCAGAGACCGGCTGCTGCCCAGTGCTGGTGGGATGATGTACATTTCCATTCATGCCTGTAGATGGGTGAGGACCTTTGGGTGATTCTACTATAAAGAAGGAGAAAAAGAAGGCAGGGGAATGGATTAAGAAAGTTACTTTTTCCAGGCTTTCTAGCCTTTATTACCATAAAGTCTCATCCCAATAATTTGCATATTTTGAAGTTCCACTTCAATAACGTCGTTCAAAAGCCTGTTGTTTCAAAACTCATTTATATATCCAAGCCTCTTCTCCATCCTTGCTTCAGAATTTCCGTTCCTTGGTTTTTCAGTATATTAGAATATGAAAATAATCATGTTGTTCCTGAAGTGAAATTATACTGATATAATACATTATAATTGATAGTTTTGTAGTTAAGTTTTAGATTAAAGCCAGCTTCACCCCCACTGCCATAATAAAAATTTCTGATTATAAAGAGATAGAGTACAGTGCTAATAAGTAAAGTGAAATCTCTTGAAGATTGAATTATCACATTGGCAATTTAAAAAACTATTTAATTGCATGGAAAGACTGCTATGAACTAAACCAAGATATTGTCCTGGAACAAAAAAAACTGAGCTGTGCTACTAGCTTTATAATAGCTCTCACTGAGCAGCCAAGTACAAGTCTTTATGGTGAAAAAAAACCAGACTGGTCGAGTGTGTAGTACGAATTGTCTTCAGGGCTTGAATCTTAGAGTACTGAAGGAACTTGTTTATGTACTCTCAATAATAGTAATAATAATAATAATAATAATAATAATAATAATAAATTATAAACTTTATTTATACCCCACCACCATCTCTCCGATGGGGACTCTGGGCAGCTTACATGAAGCCAAGCCCAACAACGCAATACAAAAATGAAGTCAAAACACAAACCCCACAACATAATAAATTACATAAAACACAAGAATACAGCAAACAATATAAAATTACAATAAAATCATTCATAACACAGTAACAGTGTGCGGGCCGCATGTACAGGATAAAATACTAAAGCTAAAAACATGGGGTGAAATAGAGATGAAGCAGATTATTTATGAGGGAGAAACTCTTCAGGAATGGGGTTGAAAAGTGCCTTCTACAGATAAATGTTGAGGGATAACAGCAATATAAGATTGCATGGTTAATCTCCAAAAGCGCAACAGAAGAGCCAGGCTTTGAGATTCTTCTTAAAACTTTCTAGAGTGGGGGGCTCACCTAATGTCACCAGGCAATGTATTCCATAGTCGGGGAGCCACTGAGGAGAAAGCTCTCTCTTTTGTTTCCACAAGGTGGGTCTGAGATAATGGCAGGGGTGAAAGGAGAGCCTCCCCCGAGGATCAGAGGGATCGGGCAGGTTCCTGGAGTGAGATACGGTCACAAAGGTAGGCGTGTCCCAAACCGTTTAGGGCTTTATAGGTGATAACCTGTACCTTGAATTGGGACCAGAAAATAAATAGCAGCCAATGGAACTCCTTAAACAGGGGAGTTGTCCGCTCCCTGTAATTCGCCCCCGTTATTAATCTGGCCACCGAGCGTTGGACAAGTTGTAGTTTCTGGGCCATCTTCAAGGGTAGCCCCAAGTAGAGCACATTGCAGTAATCCAATCTAGAGGTAACTAAGGCATGGACCACCATAGTCAAGTCCGACTTCACGAGGTATGGTTGCAGTTGGCACACAAGTTTTAATTGTGCAAACGCCCTCCCGGTCACCGCCAACTCCTGTGCATCAAGCATCAGCGCTGAGTCCACGAGGACCCCCAAACTGTAGACCTGTGATTTCAGGGGGAGTGCAACCCCGTCCAGCACAGGTTGCCTCCCAATACCCGATCAGGCAAACGACTGACCTGGAGGACCTCTGTCTTGTCAGGATTAATCTTCAGCTTGTTTGTCCTCATCCAGATCGTCACAGCAGCCAGGCACTGGTCCAGTATCCGAGGGGCTTCCTTGGATTCAAGTGGAAAAGAGTAGTGCAGTTGGGTGTCATCTGCATAGAGGTGGCACCGTACTCCAAAACTCCAGATGACCTCTCCTAGCGGTTTCATGTAAATGTTGAATAGCATAGGGGACAAAATAGAACCTTGCAGGACCCCAGAGGTCAACGGCCAGGGGTCCAAGCAGGTGTCCCCCAGCTTCACCGACTGGGAACGACCCTCCAGGAAGGACCGGAGCCACAGTAAAACCATGCCCCCAAGTCCCATCCCAGTGAGTCTCCCCAGAAGGATACCATGGTCGATGGTATCGAAAGCCGCTGAGATGTCCAAGAGAACCAACAGGGTTACACTCCCCCTGTCAAGTTTCCCTGTGGAGGTCATCCACCAAAGTGACCAAAGCCATCTCGGTACTGTGCCCAGGCCTGAAGCCGGACTGTGAATGATCCAGAAAATCGGTGTCATTGAGGAATCCCTGGAGCTGCGAGGTGACCACCCGCTCCGGAACCTTGCCCAGAAAAGGGAGGTTAAAAATTGCTCTGTACATACATACAGTCGGGTTAAGATAGGTGTTTTTAATAAAGGTTTTACCACCGCCTGCTTAAGGCAAGATGGGAATTTACCCTGGCCCAAAGAAGCATTTATTATGACAACAAACTAGTCCACAACCCTGGCCAGTTTAACTAGCCAGGAAGGGCAAGGATCCAGAACGCAAGTGGTCGCTCTCACAGACCCAAGGACCCATTCCACGTCATCCGGCAGAACAAGACAAAAAGAATCCCATAAGATTGAACAGACAGGCACCTTGGTTACCTCATCTTGCACTGCATTTAAACTGGAGTCCAACTCAAGATGTATCTGAGCAACTTTGCCTGCAAAGGGGTGTGCAAAATCGCTACACTGAGTTGCCAAGTCGTCTGGAAACCCCCAACCTCAGGAGGCTGGAGAAGCTCCCCAACAACCCAGAACAACTCTGATAGTCTATCTGCTGCAGACACTATGTGGGCAATCGAGAATACTTTCTTAGCTGCCCACAAAGCCGCAGAATAACCCCTAATAGCAGTTTTAGCTCATGCTTGGCCAGATATGTTGCGAGATTTCCTCCAGATACACTCTAGACCCCTCCTCCAGCGCTTCATAACAGCCAGCTCCTCGATGAACCAAGGAGTCGGTGTGACTCTGCGCAATGAGAGGGGACGTTTGGGAGTGATCGTGTCGATCACCCTGGCCAACTTGCTATTATAGCGATCAGCGAGGGCGTCGACAGGATCGTCAGTCTCCAGGACAGGAAGATCCCCAAGAGACCTCAGGAGTCCTTCTGGATCCATAAGTCTCTTGGGGCAGACCACCTTAATGGGTCCAGCACCCCTGTGGAGGTTAGAGGGCACGGCAAATCTTAAACAGATCAGATGATGGTAAGACCATGACAATGGGAGAATATTTTGCTCTTCCACTCTGCCATCCCACCATCCAAAACAAGGTCCAGGGTTTGTCCTGCTTGATGTGTGGGGCCAGATATTCCTTGAGTCAGCCCCATGGTCAACATGGCACCATGAAGTCCTGAGCTCCACCTGTCAATGTGGTCTCGGCATGGATGTTAAAGTCTCCCAAAACAATAAGTTGTTGGGAGGCCAAGGCCAAATTTGAGACCACTTCTGCTACCTCAGGCAGAGCTGCGGGGTGAACGGTACACCAGCAGGATTCCCAAACTGTCTCAGACTCCCACTCTCAAGTAGACACACTCAAACCTCATAGATTCTGGAATGGTGCATCTGATCAAGGCAATGGACTGCTGAAAGATCACCACGACCCCTCCTCCCCGCCCCCCAGACCTAGCCTGCTGACGCACCACAAAAACCGGTGGACACAGCTAGGTGAGATTTATTCTCAACCACTTAAAGAAGAGTTCTGAAATGTGTTAAGACTCAATGAGGTATTAATTGAAAAACTATAGCAAAATTTGCTCGAGGGGGTCGTGCAAAAACAACATTTTTGCCCTCCCCAGAGATATTAGATATTAGATCAGCTCCCACTCTCCTATCATTCCAAAAAAAAAGTCAAAACCTGGCTTTGCGAGCAGGCTTTTTCAAATGCAATGTTGTAAATAATTACTTGACCTCGGAACTGCTAGACAATGCAATCAGATGAAGATTCTGGAAATTAGATACGGAGGATTTATGTTTTATTGATTTTATTGTTTATGGAATTGTATGGATGTTTATATGCTTTTAACTGTTTATATTATTGTGGCATCAAATTGTGCAGGTTTTGTAAACCACCTTGAGTCGCCTTCAGGCTGAGAAGGGCGGTATAGAAATATAGTAAATAAATAAAAAAATAAATCACACCAAAGCTAAACCAGGGACAATTTCCAGTAGAATTGTTTTATGGGAACTACTCTTCTCTGTCCCATAACAATCCTGATCCTCTATTTCCCTCTTTCCCAATACCAGAATGGGTGTTTTTTTTAAAAGTAGGAAAAAATGAATGTAGAAGGAAAAACTGTACATTTAATGCAATGCTAGTAGATTCCTCATAAAAAGGCAACTTCCTATGCAATCATAATTTTAGAGTTTGTGGGGAAAATAAATCAGCTTCCCATTCTGGAACTCACGTCTTTTTCCACCCCCACCCCTACCCCATGCTTAAAATGCAGGATTGCAGACTCTGTAATCATAGTATCTTCTGAAAAGTAAAGCAAGTTATGGTAAAAACCACATGAACTGGTGATGAGCCTTTTCTACATTAAGCCCATATTTCCACATGTAAATCTGAAACTACTACCTCCCCATTAACATTTTGTGTAGAATTAGAGGAACAAAGTGTTAAGATCGATCCAGCTTTAAAATGCCACCAGTTATGTTTGCTTATACATTTGCAAAATTTAAATATTTAGATCATGTGTTTCCAGTTGACTTAAATAAACTCCTAACAGGATCTGTGCTATTTGTTTCTACTTTATTTCAAAGAAAATGGGTGGTACATTTGTTGATACATAAACTGCGAACAATAGAAAATCTTGCCAATCAAAAGGTTGACAGCTCTAGTCTGTGTTGCGGTGAGCTCCCAACCTTCAGCCCAACTTCTGTTTACTTAGTTCAAAAACAGTAATGTGAGTAGATAAATAGGTATCATTTTGGTGCCCATGCGGACATGCTGGCAATTTGATCGGAAGAGTATCTAAAGGCAATAAAGCTCCTTGGCATGAAAGATGGAGCGACAGCAGCCCCCCCCCCCCTCCAATGGCTGGAGTTGAGCACAGCCTCCAGAGTTTGGGCCAGGCTTTAGCATAGTGGATTAAACCACCAGCTACAGAAAATCTTGCTGATTGAAAGATCGACAGTTCAAGCCCGGGTTGGGGTGAGCTCCCAACCATCAGCCCAGTTTTGCTCACTTAGCAGTTTTAAAACAGTAATGTGAGTAGATAAATGGCAAGGAGGTAGTAAAAGGTGCCCATGCGGACATGCCAGCAATTCAATCGGGAAAGTGTCTAAAGACAACAAAGATCCTCAGCATGGAAGATGGAGCAACAGCAAACACACCCCGTGGCTGGAGCACAACCTCCAGATGCCAGAGATGGAAAAAGATGGGAAGCCTTTACCCCTGTTTATGTACTGTCTGTCTTTGTTAACTGTATAATGGCAGTGAAAGTTTTCCATATGCGTTTACTGTAATCCACCCTGAGCCCCCTTGTGGAGATAGGGCAGAATATAAAGAATGTATATTATTATTATATTTTTATTTGAAGGATTCAGTGAATAATGATCATTGTTAGATAGGAAGCTTTAGCAACACTTCTATGTGCTCGTAACAAAAATTATGGAATGTTGTTTCTTACTTCTTCATGCTCATTTATAATTGTATTGACTTAGGAAAAAAATCAGTAACTAATTTCAGCCAAAGCTATTTCCAATAAGTTTTGTCAAAATACTATATACAGATCATGCCTCTAGTTTGCCTCATAATATAGCTTTTTTCAAGTTTACCATTTCAATCAATTGAATACTTGCAGATTTCTGTTTTCATTTAGTAACCACATTTTACCACAGAGCGAGCTGTGCTAGTTTTCCCACCTTCATGTTTACTAGATTTATCCCTGTAGTAACTGTAATAGGAGGACTGATTTTTCAGAGTAGCAGTCTTCAGGAAAGAACTGAAGTAAGGTTAAGCAGTATACATACTCAACACATATATCAAAAAGATACACATTTGAAAAGCACAGTATCTCATGAGTGCTTTAGTACTTGTCAAGAAAACTCAAAAATTGGGTCTCCCTAGGTTCACCGAAAGTAAAAAAAAAGTACTTGAAGGCACACAATGACTTCTTATTGGCTTGTGTACTTGAAACATATCCCTTGGTTATTTTTAAAAGTTGATTTAATAATCTTGTAAACAAAATAAAAATACTTTTTTTGCTATATTATTAAGAATGCTTTAAAAACACAAAGGCAACTGTAGGGTAAATTTCCACATGCAGTGTTATATGTTAACTGTTTTATAGGATCATCTGTTAAATGAGAAGCTTGTGCAGCTCAACCAGGCCAAAAAATATGCAACTCAACACACAAGTAAATGTACATATGCATCTAAGTGCAATGGCACCCCATGTGCAACTCCACTTGTACTGTATGCAGCCATTCTGTACTGGAGAAAAAGATCAAAATATTTTGTAAAGGAACAAACACCATAGAACATAAATAGGATTTTGATTATGATGATGGACTTCTATATAATACTTCATTTATAACCTGCCCTCTCTCCCCGAAGGGACTCAGGGTGGTTTAATTCTCTAAATAACAAATGCCCCATAGACATTGGGCATTCTCACTAATGATCTGAGTCATAAACTATATTTAATTCCAAAACAAAGTGGAAAATGAAATATTTACCCTGAAAAAAAATCTCAATATTTTGTAAAGAAAAAAGTCTTGGGAAAGGTACCACTAGACAAAATGTAATTGGTACAGTAATATTTAAAAACCAAGTAAATCTAAATATTTTATTTTTCCAACTATATGTGTGAGCAAACTATTTTTTGAGCTTGCTAAATACTTACAATTGAATAATGATGCTTTTTGATGACTTCTACTTCCACCTTGTGGTAAATTGGTACATATCACCATTCTTTAATACTTTTGTATTGCTATAGTTTAAAAATAAGCTCAATGTTGGGACTATTGCCAATCAAGCCCAGTGAAGAAAAATGTAGGAATATGTAACATGGTAAAAACCATTCCCTTCTTAATGCAGGATGCCTTATAATTCAGCTATTGCATTCAAAACTAGCTACATTCAACAGCGACTTCTTACATTAGCAATTCATCAATATTTCCTGATTCAAATCTATCCAAAGAACACTTAGTTAGATTTTATATGCTGTCCAAATGCAACGTAAAACTTTGGTAATTGCCTGTTATAAGTACAAGAATACTCAACCTGACAAATACCTTCATGACACTATGATTATATATCTAATCTCTTTTAAGAATCATGTATAATTATTCCAAATTATTATGGAATCGTTTTTGGTCCTGTATGCTCAGTAAGATAACATTGATTCAGCACTTACCTTTTTCATTTCCATTTGCATATTGTGGAGGCTTGGTTTTATCAATGCTATTAAAGCTCTGACTTCTTCGATTTAGATTTGAGGCTCCCTGGACTTTGGTACTGCTGCCTGCAGCTGGCACCCTTGAGGGCCCGGGAAGCCTGGAATAGGATAGTCAGAAATAAAATTGATGCACACCATAAATCACACAGGAGAGGAATTAGAGCTGATCAGCAATGATTTGGGAATAAAGGCAATGACAATGAACAACAACATAATTCATGGTTAGTTAGACTCAACATTGCCAATGGAAGGTCATCCTTAATAGGTACAGGTGCATGTGGGAGAGATGCTGTGTAGCACCACAGACAAACACATATGGATCCTTTGCATTTTCCATCCATACTGCTAAAAAGATTCACTCGTGTTCTTCATACAACCTTTCATTAAAGCAATCAACTTCTGCTTATTACTATAAATATAAAACTAAAACTATATAGGTATATAGCTTGTCAAGTCTAGATTCTTGATAGTGTGATTGACTGAATCCCCTTCGGGGTGAGAGAGGGCAAGGTATAAGTATAGTAAATGAGTTTTATCTCCTCTATGTTCCCAGAAACGCAGACATTTGCAATAGATATTAGATGATGAGGTGAGGAATTAATTGACAGTGTTACTATGTTCATTGCTTTAAGTGAAAGCTTTTGACTGAAAGTAATCCATCCATTTTACAAGACTACAGCTCAAGCTATGTATTTCTCACTTGTTGGTATTTGCTGCCACCATCTGTAACATTCTAGGTAGCAAAGATTTAAAAATTAATAAAGAAGTCACGGGATGAAATATATATAAATTCACAACATATTCCCTCAGCTTTTGTTACCTAGTTTAGTTACCAAGGAAAAATATTCTGAGTTAAATGCTGCCCATAAACAGGAATTGCCCCAATATAGTGCTTGAAAGTGAGAATCCTGATAAAATGTTAATGACAGGTTATTGAATTCAGGTCAAGATTTTAAAAAAAAATGGTTACTATCATGTGATGTTAATTTAAAATATACCAAAAGGCATTGCCATGGTAAAATGCTAATAATATCAAATATATATATATATATATATATATATATATATATATATATATATATATATGGAAAATGTTAAAGAAATAGTTTTGGGGATGAGTTTTACTTTCTTTTATAAACTGCTTTGCGTACTACATTGGTGCATCAAGAAATCACCTTCCTGCAGAGAAATTGGGCCAGAACTGTTACATCACTCATCTTTTCACCTCCTGTGAAAAAAGTATAACTGGAAAATGTTAGATGTCTAATAAGTCTGCAATTATTTTTCAGTTCTGGGTCTTGAGTTGTTATTTATTTATTTATTTATTATTTACTTTATTTATATACCACTTTTCTCAGCCCTCAGGCGACTCAAAGTTGTTCTTTGGGTAGTTGTGGTTAGACCACATCAGATTTGTCAGCTCTAAATCTTTTATGCATACTAAACTTTTTCATCATCTGTGAGAACAATATATCTATTGGGCAACTTGGTAGTCCTTGAACAGACTCAGAAGTGGAGTTGGCAGACCAAAAGACAACCTGGCAAGATGGCACTACTTAGAAGAATCCGTCACTTTGTGCGACTGTGGAGAAGAACCAACAACTCAGCATCTGTATGCTTGCCCACCATGTCCTGACTCTTGCCCAGAGGAAGAACTGTTTAAAACTACAGATAATGCAGTCGCTGTTGCCTGTTTTTGGTCTAAAACTATCTAGCAGCTTTTGATCCCTTTATTTTATCAGTTTTAGAGATACTATTTTATGCAATGCTTTTTACATGAAGTAAATGAAACCTATATTAATGTAATAAAAACATTTAAAACATGCATTAGGGAAGCTAACCAAAAAATGATCTAATTGACATTTGTAGTTCTTTCTTTTTATAATTCCTGAAGTTATATTTTAGAACAAATACAGATTCTAGTAACTTAGATCACTAAATAAAACCCTTTTGTTTTACTATTTCAGTCATTTTTCCACAGAATCGTTTTAAGCAACAAAGGAAATGCAAAGTGTAAAGCAGCAAGTAATTCACAAGCAACAGAGTTCTGATCAACTCTTCACTGACACTGTTATAAATTGACAGTGTTAGACAAATAACTGTTAGCTCCCAGACAAGATGAACTGTGAATGAGACAAGAGTCCATAATAAATGTGATTTAAAATCTAATATTACAGGTGCACAACAACTGCACTCTGGTATAGCTCATTTGAGACTATCACCAGTGGCTCTGTTGGTGTTATTGAACTGAATATACATTGGATTACAAAACTGATGGTTCATTGTCAGCAATAAACTGTACAACAAACAGTATTGTTGGCTTTTAAAAGACTTACACTGAATACATTATAAACTCACACACTGAATACCACAGCAGGAGCAAGGAATGCTCATTTAGGAAACAAATACATGAATTTTAGTGCTCGTAAGAGAAAAGCCCATAAGGCTTAACAGAGACAGAATAGGCAATGGACATGTGGGCTGTCTTAAGCTGTAAGATTTCCATTTGTTTCAGAATTGTTCATTATTGTGCTTTACCCCAGCTTCACAAATATATAATTGTCCCTATGATTTTGTTCAAAACTTTGATAAATGCAATTTAAACTAGATGAGTCTTTCCATTTCAGTGGTTTTAAAAATCTTTCCATAGGAATCTACCTACTTTGAAACAGATTGGCAATAGTGGAAGGTTTCAGGTCATAATCTCGGTCAGCTGGACTTCAAGATCTCCAGGTCTGAACCCGAGACACTTTGCATAAAAAGTAAAATTGTAATGGCAAATCAGTTTCAAAACCAGTGTTCTTTTCCATTTGAAAGTTAACAATTAGGCCACTTCAGTTGAAGAGAAGCAGTTGTGTTCTGTTGGGGTTATAGTTTCTCCTTATTTCAGTAGGTCAATAAACTAAAAACATGAAGATTTTGAGAATTGATAGAAAATTCCAGTAATCAAATGATGTGACTTCTTTTCAAATGTAAACTAAATCATAGAAGACAGAGATATTAGTAATACAGAATATTGATAGAACCATTACAACTGAATTGGTAGACAAGTATATACATCCCAATCTATAATACCTCTCCATTGTTCATTTATTCACTTCCAACCTTCTTTGGGTGAGGAAAAATAACAATGAATCACTTAGATAAGTGGGAAGTTTCCCAGCTCAGGGACTCAACTATATTGTATTTCTTTAATGCTTCTCAGATGAAAAAGAAGAAGCAGGAGATGGCAAAGAGCATAAAGGGATAATAAACAAAACCAGTTGTTAGTCCCAACTAGAGTGGACCCACTGAATTCAGACTTTGCATTGATTCAATGGCCCTGCTCTAATTGGGAAAAACAAGTGGATTTAATTCAGTGTCAGCAGAGATGGCATGACTGACAGGTGGATTTGTTTGTATCCTTGTCTGGTAGCAGTTCAGTTGCAAAGGTGGCCCTGCAGCACAATTGAAGAAAATGATGGAAATCTTTTATATGATATTTTTCTCTTGCCTATGTGTTGAACAACAAGCTGAGCACTAAAATCCCTCTTGAACGTTGACAGCTCATTAGAATAAGTTATTTTACATGCAGTATGCTAAATTGCAACACACAGATATGCCTACAGGTATTATATAGAACTGTTATTTTTGGTAGTCCTGGGCAAGGTTTTCCACCGGCCGACAAAAAATTCTGCAAAGCTTGCATTTAAAATATAATGATAAAGAGCTTAATGTCTATATTGCTTAAAAGAATAAAATTGCCAGTGGGCAGTGACTCCATTAAGCATCACTAGCAAGCAATAAATTAGAGATATTAACTGACCTAGAAGGCTTTTTTTGACTGGTTGCAATTCCACTGTGATTAGACTGAGTTGCATATCTGGCTGTCAGACTGTATGAGAAGAAACAGAGAAATTGAATTATAGAATTTTTTGAATATGCATAAAAGGCATAAACTTACCACTAAACAATGAGAATGTAATGCAAATAGAACATGGATAAAAACAAAATAATTAAAAGAAGAGTTAAATGTAATGTTTACAACATGAGTTTTCAAAATACAAACTATGGAGTAATGCAATGTATTGTAAGCTCTCCCATTTCCTGAAGTAAGGCTCACACTGTCTTGAATCCAAGCATGGGAAATGGTCAACTTTCTATTTTATAATGTTTTAAAATATCAAATGTATTTATACCTACATATCTCTAAGATAACTGCAAGCATAAACATATTCTTTAAATATTGTTGTAGTAGTATACTGCTGATCTGATCATTAGTCGAACTGACTGCCTACATTTTAAAAAGCCATTCTTTAAAAAGACACTGAATACCATTAATGGTAATCATGTGCCGTGAGTTTAGTTCAGATATACACTTCAGGACTTTATGCATCATTTTAGCCATAGTTCATGTAAAGACATTTTAGGAAGAACTAATGAGAATGTCAGACCATTAGTATAACATTGTATAGTAGATAGTTCTGACTTTTCATTTTTATATGACACAAAATATTATTACTACCCAATTCACTGTTAGGAAAATATACTTGGGCATGCAGTAGGTGACCACTTATTCTGAACAAATACAAAACAGTGGCATGGTATGAAAACTATAGCAAAGTGCATAGAAACAGAGCAAGTGCAGAGCAAGAGAAATGACATGAATATTTCCTGCAATGTGGCATGACAGAGGATATGATATGACTAGATAGCTTATTAGGTGGTAAAACTTTTCTGGACTTCAGAAAGTAGGTAGGCCAATGTTTGACCATCCCAGAAGGTAGAACAAAGCAAAGTGTGCAAAAGGACCTTATAGCATATTAGAGATTGTGAGAATAGAGGTGGTATCACTAGATCTTGTAGACTAAATATACTCAGATGCTTCTGAGGGCATGGACGTATTCTACAAAAGCTTATGCTACCAACACTATTCCCACAGTCAGTTTCTAAGGTGCTACTGATATCTACTGATATTCTAAACTACGTCTTTGAATTATACTCACAGAAAGTTAAGTGTCACAATTTCTTCATAATCAGTGAAGGACAACACTCAGGCAGAAAGAAAGGTTGAATGGGGAAAAGGTTGAAGGAGATAGCAGTCTGAGATTCATTCAAGTTGTCCTGACTTAAAGCCAGAAGAGGCAGTACTAGCAGATGTATAGATGTAAAGTCTATATATTTGGAATCAAAGCAACATATAATGATGGAGCCCCTGGAAACTGTTAGGGAAGGAGAGGTAACTGGGTATGGCCAAATAACTGTCTTAGATCCATTGGTTTCCCAGTTGGAAGAACAGCAGGAGGAGATTACAATGTGGGAGGGAGGGTGCTGGCAAATAAAGGCAAAGCTGACAGCTTGAACAAGCATTCAGGTTGCTGATATAGTTTCCTGTCAAATTTATTGGGGGAAAAGAGAAAGAACTAAAAATGTCAGCACTTTGATGAAAGGTTTAATGTAAACCCAGCCACTTTTCCATGATGGTATTTCACACCAACAACTGCTGACAATTAGCTTCTGTATGATAGGCTGGCATTATTTTCCATGCTGTTCCTGGAAACAAAAATGTTTTCATATGGAAAAGGGCTAAATAATTTGAATGACTCACAATTGGAGCTGGCTAGTTACTGCATAAATGGAACATTGGGATGACTATGGGGCAGGGTGGAGTCTAGACCACAGTGCAATGGACTACTTGATGCCAAGTGAGATCAAGAATCATAGCTTCATCAAGAAAGAATATAGGCCTGTGGTAAATGCTAAAATTGATATTGAACCCATGATTTACTACTGAAGTCTGGGTTAATAAATCAAAGTGCTTCAGTGAATTAAAACCATGGTGCAAAGCTAAACTGATATGACTGCAATCTGGAAAGCTAAATACAATTATAATTCTAAGAGTACAAAACATTTTTATTATATTTCTTTTCTGTAAGAATCTGTTCTGGAAAAATCATAATACTACTCATAGAGCTAAAAATAAAAACACAAATCATTTTTTCCTAGTATTCTTAATAAGCTCTCATATTTGCAGCTACTTTGTGATGGTGAAATGGACATATGATACAATGCTTGCTTTATAACTAGATACTATAGAAGAGAAAGAAAGACCAAAAAAACCCCACGTTGTCAGGAAAGACAGTGTTCTATAGAAGGGATGAGCAACTGCTATGTTTATTTATTTATTTATTTATTTATTTACTATGCTACTATACCGCCATTCTCAGCCCGAGGGCGACTCATGGCGGTTTACAAAACAGATTGTACTCTAATGGGCTAATGGGAACTGCAATCTAACAACATCTAGGAGCCTATGATTACCTAACTCTGTTTTACAGTAGCAACAAATGACACTACAATAGTTTTAAAAGAGCGTGATAGAATAGCCGTACATTCAGAAGTTTTTCTGCAAAATCCTCATTTGAAGGAGCAGGAACTACACAAGATAATTATTATTTATGAAGGAGGAATTTGCATATGTGTTCTGAACATTTTGAGTTACTTAGTTCCAGTGATACTTTCCTTTTACATGCAACAGATGTTCATTATCAGGAAAAGTAAACTGGAGCAATGATAAGCATAGGCATACTCAAAGATTTATGGTCTAAATTCATCCTATGATTGTCAGGGATTCATGGCCACATCTCTAGGAATGATGAAGACACACATAGGTAGGTCTCACTTTAAATTTTTGCTGAGGTAAAGTACTCGAGATGCCCTTTGCATTTCAAGGACAGAAGTGAATTCAGCTCGGTGGATTGGACAGCAGGATAGTTCAGGAAGAGCAAAACAACCATAGCACAAACTCTAACTGCTGCTCCACATTTCAAGAATCTTTGACTTAATGCAGCCTATCTATCTGCCTTTTCATGGGTCTAGCTCTACTCATATTCAGTAAGAAGGCTGGGGAAGACCGAGCTACATCCTCTGGAATCATAAGGTGTTTTGTATGCTTCTGGCCTGTTTTCATATAGATCTGTGAAGTAAATGTCTGCTGTTTTTCAACTGAAAGCACAACACATTCAAAATGAATGCACACCTTTCCCTTAACATTACTGTGGTTCCCACTTGTGAAAAAATGCCCCACAGGTTTGTTTTCAGGAGTCAACTGAAAAACTTTACTTTGGTAACCAATTTTTTTAATCTTACACTTAAAAATCTAAGGATTAATTGTCCTTGTCACTCACTATTTGAACACAAACAAGAGAAGATAAACTAGGAACATTTCTCACATAGTTGTGATTGTAAACTAAAATAATGACATATATCAGTCATTGTAATAACCTATAGGCATGAAAGACATTTATATGGAAAAACAGCAGCTCACAAGTTTATGAAGGTCATATATAAGCCACAAGGTCAATGAGACTATGACATCAATGGTAATTTTTTGCATCTCAGAGCAGTCAATTATGATATATTCAATTAAACTATGCAAAATTAAGTGCATAAAGGAAAATAAAGGAGGAAAACTAGGCTTTGTTGTTCTTGTTGTTGTGTGCCTTCAAGCTGTTTCAGATTTATGACAATCCTGCGAGAGTTACTAAAAGTTCAATCAATTAGAATTCTATATTGTAAAAGGTAACATAGGAATATCAGTATAACAATGTAAGGCTGAGTCTTACAAAGCTGATTATACCACATATCTGCCTAGTTCCTCTTTCAAATGGTCACCAAGGCCCCTCCTATACTGTCATAAAATCCAGATTTTAATCTGGATTTTATAACAGTGTAGAAGTGGCCTTGGTGACCATTTGAAACTTTGAACTGGATTATATGAGTTCACTTGTTATCTGTAATATGTATTTAATGTCTACCAGGATTAAGAGCATTTGCTTGCAACAGAATCTCCTGCACCAGAGCCGACACCCGGGATACCTTGTTGTAACCTGGTCACCGTTAGAACTCTTCTCTGACACAACTTTGGATGCTACAAATAGTCCTTCGAAACATCTACAAGTGACTCTTTAAAATCATCAGACAAATTGGACTATTATATTTATCTACATGAATATCAACATTTATCCATGACAAAGAGAAGTTGTTCCTCTATATTGTATATATAAGTAATAAACCTGTCATATGACATCATATTTGAAGTATCAACAACAATAACATAAGACTTTGTGTATCTTAGCATATCTGTGTTTTTATATACTTTACTTTCAGTCTAGGTCAGAGAAAATCTAAGTTGGCAGATGCATTGCTACACTATGTTCATGGTGCACTAAGCATTTTGCTGAAATGTAGTTATTCCTTCTTATGGGGTGATTTTACCTCCACACTTAAACACTAAAGACCTGGCTGTTCAAAGTTCTCATAGTTTTCATAAAAATGTAAGCTATGGCCTTGGACACTTGATATTGGATTCCAAATTGTATTTTCATGGTTCATTATTCACTGCAGGCTATCAGTCGTAAGGTTACGCTGTTTTCCTGTATCAGAAATTTCTGAATTATAACCAAATGTATCCTTCATATCAGGCATCAGATGGTTGTGAATCTCAAGACAGCCTTTTCAAGACATGGAATATTTTATTTTATACAAATGTGAGGAAAGATGGTGTATACATCCACATACTGTATACATTTTTTGTCAGACTGACAAGAACAATGGGACTATTCCCACTCTAGATGGCTGAGCATGCACATCTGTAGCTTCAATCTCAGAGCTATATCAGGTTAAAAATATTGTCATTATTACCATGGAGTATCCATTAGTAATACAAACACAGGGTAGCATTTGTTTCAAAATGTCAGAAGTTCACAGGTAGATGAGTATAGAAACAAAGACAGAACAATAGTTATAGCTGCCTTGATCTCAGTTTACTCTTTTCCACTGTGTCTATAAGCATCTTATCAAATATGCCTATTTAAATCTATCTAGAAGTAAATC